TAGTCATTTGATAGCTTATAAATAAAGCTATAAAACCATATAAAAGTAAAGTTCCGAATTTTCAGAAATAAAATTAAAAATATTTTTCCCTATTTAAAGTTCCGCCACTGTACGTAGTGAAGTAAATGTTTAACTTAAAGCAGGCATTTTTTCCTTATGTCAGAGACTATGCCTCTCGTTTATTGCAATCGAGATTACTCGGGGACCACTTTACTTCAGACGTCGGCAAAATTCTTTCCATGCGGTGATTACAGTTCGATAAACCTTCAGAAACTCAGAGAAACAAGAAAGAAATTCGTGTTAAATAATTTCTAAATTCAATATACAGGCCCATAAATATCGTCGAATGTAGCCTAAGCGTTGCTTGGCTTCCAAAAAATGAAATATTACATTTTTTAAGCTGCCTTTCCTTTTAAATTAAATGAATCTTATCTCGAAATTAATAAATTAATTAATAGTTTTAAAAAAGGAAACGCAAACTAATCCACGGTCAATAGATAAATCAAAATGTGTTTAATATTAAATTATTTATTTAAAGTTTATTAAATGTGAGTATAAAAATATTTGTATTGGCGATATGCTCAGTAGTCCCGATAGTATTTTTTGGATGATTGCCAGAGCGATTTTCTCTATTTTCTCTATTTTCTATTTTTCTCTATTTTTTTTGCGAACTAGTCTTGATGAGATATGCACAAAAAACACTGTTTTGGGTCGAAATAATGAGTCTATATTGGACCTATTCGAACCTAAAAAACCTATTTCGGCCTTTTTGGACCTAAAACCTATTTGCAACCTATTTCGGACTTTTTTGAACCTATTCTAGGTTTTTTGAAAAAATCTTAAAAATTGCCTTTATTTTCGCAAATATTATAGAATTTAAGTCATTTTTTCACCAAATCTCTGGTTTTTTTATAAAAAATTTTTAAGTTTGATATTTAATTATCTTTTTTAACCAATTATCGGTAAAAATTGCTCTGAGGACAAAGACTCCGATTTATATCGATATTTATGTTATTCAAAAAAGCTATCAAAGGTGTGACTAGTTCGAAAGAGCTCGCCGAGCTGAGTCGAATAACACCAAAATTAACGCAATCTGACTTGATAGGGCCGAATTATGGGCCGTGAAAATTGAAAAACCATAAAGTGAAAACACAAAAATGAAAAAACTCTAACAATACAAACCTATTTGTTAAAAATTCGTACCTATTTTGCCACTTTTTGCATTTTTTTCAACCTATTTAAGCCTTTTTTTCGAACCTTTTAGGTACCTATTATCAGGTTTTTTGAACCTAAAAAAACTCGCTCTGATGATTGCATATTAGCAGTCAATTAATTTGTTGTGAGATTCTTTCCGATGTCGAGATAAGCAAAAATGTCAAAGTTTGCCTTAACAACAACCCTGCTTGCCTGAAAGGTGTGGCTACAACTTATCATACAAGCCCTCATAACTTGGTCAATATTAGCCATAAATTTGGAAAAAATATGTATATTTAGACTCAGTTTTGTAAGGGCTTTCGAACAATATATCATTTGGTTCGTGTATAAAGTTACAATGTTTGGTAGGGATGTGTTATTTTTGGAAGCCTGATTTTAAGATAGCCCATTTTAAGATATCAATAAAAGACAAAGTAGAGTCATCGTCCAAACTGCTCTTTAAATTGAACAACTCGATCCCACACTCACTTCTTCTCATTAGAGTTGGGCATATTTTTGCTCATGCTCCGTTTTTTTCAAACCTTGGCTTCAGCTTTGAACCACTCCATGCTGGCTCCATGGATAATGAATGGATAAAACTGTTCGGGGTATTTGGGTGAATTAAAGGGGTAACTCTCAGATCTGTTTAACATATATTCAAGGTACGTCTTTAAAATTTGATTGGTGACTGATAGAAGAAGCTGTCCAAGCAATACCCTCTATTTATGGCACACTTATAAGAGGCAGTTTTTAGCCTAATAACGTTTATTAGGGATAAAGAGGTGAGAGAAAGTTGGATTAGATTGCGGGTTGAGTCTTTCAAAATATTCTTCTGATCAGGTTCCGGTTGCAGGTCGCAAGTCCAGGATTTGGGTAGAGTTGTGGATATAGTTTGATAATTCCAACTTCCAAAAAATTAACGTCAATAATCAGGCTATTAGGAAATATCTCCCTTTCATAAATTTTAATTAATAAAAATAATAACTTGATTAAATATATATATTTTGTAATTCCTTATCACAAATGGATTATGTAAGACATCTGGCTTCTTTGCCTTGCTAAATTCTCAAAACTTTTGCTGCGGTAGAGAAAATTAAAGTAATCTGGCTTCTGGTCTTTAAAAATTTTTCGAATTTTTGCCTGCGTCGTTGAAAATGAAAGAAATCTGGCTGCTTCAGCTCCAATTTTCATAAAATTTTCGCCTGCGGGCTGCGGCGCTGAAAATGGAATAATTATGAGATCTAAAGATGTAGAGATACCTCCCGATCCTACGTAATCCCACGGTATCATTATCTTTTTACACATTTCCTAATCTTGTAATCTTTCAAGACTGCGAGGTCCACATCATGGATAAGGAGGGTAATAAGAGGGAAAAGAGATTTGGACGGATAAGGAGGCTGAAATTTGTTGAGGAATTATGACTGAAATTTGTTGAGGAATTTTAATATATTGGGGGATTTGAAAAAAGATATAGAGTGATATCAAGGGCTCAAGAGTTGTAAGTTGTATTTCAGTGATTTGGAAAGCTGGGAGATCCTCCAAATGTCCTAATATCTCTCAATCCATCTTTATTACCTGAAATACCATTATCCTTGATACACTTATATCGCTTAAGTATCCATTAATCAATTAAGAACCTTTAGTACATGTAACTCCTTAAAATTACTTGAAATCCCACCAAGAAAAGCAAAATTCCCGAAATTCACAAAAATCGTGAATTCCCGACGATTTTTGGCTAGTGAATTCACGATTCCCGAAAATCGGGAATTTGATTTTACTACTATATTACCATTATTAAATTATCGATTGATTAGAACAAGAGGGCCCTGAAGAGACTGGCTATCGGGTGAGAGAAGTCAGAGAAAAAACTTTTTCTCTCACCAAATAGCCAGTCCCTTCAGGCCCTCTTGTTTCTAATCAATCGATAATTTGCAAACCCAATCCTTTTGGGACTTGCAGGGTTTGAATGGAGTAGTGCAGAGGTTAGGCTAAGTTGTAGCGTAACGCGATTCTGGGCATTAAAGGGTATCAAACGATGCCTGAAGCGGGGTTCGAGTGACCATTTTTCTTCCCTCTGACCATTTTATAACTTGTCTCCTTCTGACCCTTTCTCTTGTTTCCAATAAAGTCAGACGCACGAGAGATGAAATATAATTTGGAGAATAACAGACATTTAATTTAAATTTTGGCGTTATGTTTAAGGAACAGAGTTAGCTAGTTTTCGCGCGTGCGTCTATATATCTATATGGACAAGATTTTTTATTGATTTTGCTTGTTCATATATTTCTATCGCTTGTTTATATATTTCTATGGGCAAGCATTTTATTTGCAAATATTCTTCACAATTTTTTTTGCAAAATTTAAAATTACTCATTTATATTTTAGGGTAAATACACCGCCACCACTCGTCACAGGAGTGGTGGCGGTGTTAAAATTAATCTTCAATTTAATGATAATCTTAAAAAGTAAACTACAGTAGAAAAAACTGTTGGATTTGGGAAATGCTGCTCTTGAATCGAATGTTCCCTATAGGTTTATTTTTTGATTCTTCGTAAACATTTTTAAATTTACAGTTGGACTGCGTTTTATGTCTACAAATCAAACTAAAATAATTGATAGAGGTTCTGAAACATCGTTCCAATGCAAGGTAAATAAAAAGTCGAAACATTATCTAATCTGATTTTTCTTTATACCACCTTTCCTAATAGATTTCGGTTGAATTAAGTCACGAGAATGTATATTAGATTAGGGCAAACCTCACGAACCTTCGGGGGTTGGAGTGTTGGGCTTCGGGGTTTACCGTGGTAGAGCCTTCTGGGTTCGGGTCAAAGTTTTTGCCTAAAAATTCGGGAGACGGGGTGCTACCCAAAATCAGAGTGATTCTTTTGTAGATATTTTTAAAACGTGTAAATATTTTAAAATTATGATATATATTTTTTCTAGGTTCTCGGCAATCCAACGTCTATAATTTGTTGGTATCATGGAAAGGAACAAGAGACACCAATTCATGAAGGAGCAAGTTTGTAAAATTAAAACATTTTAATAATTAAAATTTTTAGTTTAACTATCAAAAATGCGCAGGATTGGGAGGAAAAAGAATATAGGGTAGTTTTTTGGAGTATACATTCAAATAAAAAATATTTAAAATTTTAAGTGTATTGCCGAGGGTGAAGGCTTTCCTTGAAAAACATTGTATCATCAATTATAGTTAAAAAGACCTCTAAAAGCAAGATTTATAGAATATATACTTTCTGAAAATGAAAAGGACATTACTCTAATTTGTGAGGTACACTGGATTTTTCTTAAAGAATTAATATGTTAGAGGGATAATTATATAATTTCACATATTTCTTTTTATGTTTCATGGATATGATTTTTTAAAAATTCGTCGTCTATGCCCCTTTCATACCCCCCCCCCTTCCTAATTAGACTTGATTTTAATTTTAAATCATTTAAAGAATCACTTGGATTCTCAATTCTTTAAAGGAAATAAAATATCGAGAAATCCTTCTAGTTTCGTGTTTTTGTGCAACACGAAAATCTTAGCGTACCCTGTTTTTTCTAAAGATTATTCATTTATTTATCTCCTAAATTCTCGAAATATACCAAGTAATAAGAATAACAAATAAATCCATATCTAGGTACAGTCAAGAGTATTGCCAGTTAATATCCAATGGTTACATAATGGCCTACGAATGGATGTTGCAGAACGTATTAGAACGGGTGAAGGAGATGGAAATAACAACAAAAACAAAAATAGTTAAGTTAGCAATGATAAATTGGGCAAACATTTAATGCTATCGAAAATGAAAATTTTTGATTTTGTTGAACAAGATTTGGGGCTGTGGAATTGTTCAGCACGTAATGATTATGGGATTGTCTGGGAACAGAAAGATGTTAGATTACGTGGAATTTTTGATAAAATTGGTAAGTTTTAAAAATAAGTTATATTTAAAAGGGTCTCCAAAAGTCAGATTTATAGAATATATACCGTTTGAAACTGAAAAGGATATTACTTTAATTTGTAAAGGGTAGAGCCCTATGTGTTCGGGTCGGAGTTTTGCCTAAAAATGCGGTAAACGGGGTGCTACCCTATATAAGAGTGATTCTTTTGTGATATTTTTAAAACGTGTAAATAGTTTAAAATTATAATATATATTTTTTCTAGGTTCTCGGTAATCCAATGCCAATTATTCGTTGATATTATGGAAAGGAACAAGAGACACCAATTCATGGAGGAGCAAAATTTGTAAAATTAGAAAATTTAATAATTAAAATTTCTTGCTTTAGTTTAACTATCAAAAACACGTAGAATTTGGAGGAAGGAGAATATAGGGTAGCTTTTTGGAGTATATCCTAATAAAATATTTTTAATTTTAAGTGTATTGCCGAGGTGGAACAATTCTTTAAAAACGTAGCATCAATTCTATTTAAAAGGAAGAGTCAGATTTTTTTAAATCCAAGAGTCAGATTTAAAGAATATATACTTTTTGAAAATGAAAAGGATATTACTTTAATTTGTGAGATAAACAATGATTTTTTTAAAAGTCAATATTTTTGATTATGATAATTATTTAATTCAAGTTTTTTTTAAATGTTTTTAAGAAACTATAAGAGTAAATATGTAGGATTATTTTAAGAATCCCTTGTCTATTCTCCCTCATAGGGGTTGGTTCATAAAATGTTTGAAAAATATTTTTTCTTAAATATTTTTAAAAATTTTATTTAGAATGAAGATATTAAATTTTACTCGTAAATATTTAACTGAACGGACTGGATTTTTGGTTATAATGAAATTACAGTTTGCCTTTAGTGAGTTAAAAATTTTATAAATTGATTAGGCTTTCTTTATTTAAAAAAACATATTTTCAAAAAACTTTTTAATTAAGTTTAAAAATTTAGTTTAAAACGAATTAGTCATTAATTTTATAGATAGAAAATTAGATAACGAAAAATTTTATGCTCAAAGCGGCAAATTCCTAACTCTTTCAAATGGACAAATATTTACTATTGTTTAATTAAATGTAAATGCTTGTCCATTTGAAAGGGTTAGGAATTTGCCGCTTTGAGCATAAAACTTTGTCGAATCTAATTTCATTTAACATTTTTTTTAAAAAATATTTAAACAAATTCATTTAATATTATTATTTAAAATTTTGTATTTTCTGAAAGTTTTCTATTTCCAAATTAAATTTATTATTAAACATTTAATTATTAAAAATTTAGATTTAGAAAAAAATAAATGTCCTCCAATTCAAATTCTAATAGAAAAAGAAAGAATTCCCCTGTGCCACCAAATCAAGGAAGTAAAACTTCTGCTGTAAAAAACGCGCCCCTACAAGTAAAAACGGGTGGGATAGAGGCGACTTAATCGTACAGCTGGGACAAGAACACGAAAAAGAACGTGTGGCAGTTTTTGGCTGGAATGAATACGCTGGGATTTTGGCAACTGCAAATCTTAATGATGTACTAATTTAATATTTAAAAAAATTTTGTTTTAAAATTTCAGGTAGTTGTAATGAGAAATTTGATCGTTGTTCCGGAAGACTCTGTACGTGTGAAATGGTCCGGATCAATTGAGTTCAAATTGAAGTTTGTGAAAGGTTCTACTATGAAATTGAAGGACGTGGTCAAATAAATGTTAATCAAGACGCGGTGATTAGCAGAGGTAATTAACACTTATTAAAAATAATCATACTAAAAATTTTTTGTTGAAAAATTCAAATTTTTTAAATGGAAATTTTGTTTAAAATTTTAATAATAAATTTTATTCAGGAGGTCCTTCTACTTCAACTGTTGCTGTTCCTCATAATTCAAATACTGAAACTTTACAGCTGGTAGATAGATCTTCGAATTCAATTAATAATGTGTCTAATCCAGATCCAGAAATTGAATACGTGAGTTCATTTTAATTGTATAAGTTCTAAGTTACCTTTTCCCATTTAAAACATGTACGATTTGAATTTAAAAAAAAACAAACTTTTAACCAATCAAAAAAAATATAAATTTTATATGTTTTCAAATTAAATTTTAAAGGATTTTACGGATTTATAATTTGAGTATACGAAAAGAATTTAAGATTAAATGAAAAGAATTTAAAGAATTATTAATGAAAAAAAATTATTTAAAATATTGTTTTGAATATATTTTTAATTACATTGAATTTACTTCTAATTAATTTAAATTTAGTTTGAGTTTGTTTCAATTTAATTGATTTTAAACGGAATAAATTTTTTAAACTTGATTGAATACGAAATTTTTTAATCTACAAAAAAATTTATTTACGAAAAAAAAGTTTTGATTCACGCAATCCTTTATAGAAAAAATATTATTTAAAAAAATGTTTGCTTCGAAAATGTATTTATGAAAATTTTTGATTTTAGAAATATGTTTACTAAACGAAATTTTTGCTATTCTAATTTGTTAACGAAACGATATTTGTTTACGATTTACAAAATATGTACGAAATTTGTTTACTAAACGAAATATGGTTGTATTCGAAATTTGTTTACTATACGAAATATTTCTTTACGAAATCTGATTAATAAACGAAATTTTTTGATGAACTAAGTTTGTTTTCTAAACGAAATTTGTTTACGTAATCTGTTTACTAAATGAATGTTGTTTACTATGTGAAATTTTTTTACGAAATTTGATTACTAGGTTTACGAAATTTGTTTACTATACGAAATATTTCTTTACGAAATTTTCAGATTCACAAAAAAAATTGTTTACAATACGAAATTTGTTTACTATACGAAATATTTCTTTGCGAAATTTGATTACTAAACGAAATTTTTTGATTTAATAATTTTGTTTATGATACGAAATTGGATTACTAAACAAAATATATATTTACGAAATTTGTTTACTAAACGAATTTTTTTACGAAATTTGATTATTAGGTTTACGAAATTTGGTTACAATAAGAATTTTGTTTACTATACGAAATATTTCTTTACGAAATTTGATTAATAAACGAAATTTTTTGATGTACTAAGTTTGTTTACTAAACAATTTTAAATTTACAAAATATGTACTCTACGAAGTTTGATTAATAAACGAAATTAGTTTAAGAAATTTGTTTACTATACAAAATTTTTGTTTTACGAAATTTGATTACTAGGTTTACGAAATTTGGTTACAATACGAAATATTTTTTTGCAAAATTTGATTAAACAAAATTTGTGCTTTATAAAATTTGATTACTGAACAAAATATTCAGATTTACGAAATTTGTTTACTAAACGAATTTTAATTGTACGAAATATTTGCTTTACGAAATTTGATTAATAAACGAAATTTTTGTTTTACGTAATTTGTTCACTAAACGAAATTTGTTTACAATTCGAAATCTGTTTACTATACGAAATTTTTTAGATTTACGAAGTTTGTTTACGATACGAAATTTGTTCACTAAACGAAATTTGTTTACAATTCGAAATCTATACGAAATTTTTTAGATTTACGAAGTTTGTTTACGATACGAAATTTGTTTACAATTCGAAATCTGTTTACTATACGAAATTTTTTAGATTTACGAAGTTTGTTTACGCTACGAAATTTGTTCACTAAACGAAATTTGTTTACAATTCGAAATCTGTTTACTATACGACATTTTTTAGATTTACAAAGTTTGTTTACTATACGAAATTTGTTCACTAAACGAAATTTGTTTACAAATTTTTAGGTTTACGAAATTTGGTTACAATACGAAATATTGCTTTACGAAATTTTTTGATTTACGAAATTTGTTTACTATAAGAAATATGCTTACTAAACGAGATTTTTTTGATTTACGAAATTGGTTTACTATACGAAATATGATTAATAAACGAAATTTTTTGATTTACTATGTTTGTTTACGATACGAAACTTTTTGATTTACGAAGTGTTTCACTAAACGAAATTTGCGTACGAAATTTTTGATTTACAAAATTTGTTTACTATACGAAATTTTTGTTTTACGAAATATGATTACTAAACAAAAGTTTTTGCTTTACGAAACTTGTTTACAATTCGAAATTGGTTTACTATACGAAATTTGATTACTAAACGAAATTTTTTGATTTACGAAGTTTGTTTACAATACGAAATTTTTTGTTTTACGAAGTTTGTTCACTAAACGAAATTTGTTTAGATGCACGGAATTTTTGAATGAAAAATAAAATCAAATCGTACATGTTCCTTCTAAGTATAATATAGGGGGAAATTATATATTAATCTAAACTCACTAGCTTTTTTTCTAAATCAAATGTAGAAAAAAAAAGATAGAGCGTTGGAAACTGTTCATAGGATTCATGTCTTCCAATATCAAAAATCATTTGATTTCGAAGATTTGATTCCTACGGACATATCCAACACTCTAGCTTTTTTCTACAATTAATTTAGAAAAAAAGCTAGGGGGCCCCTCTTTTTTTTCAGGTTTCTCCGGCACCGTCACCAGTTGTCTCAGACATAGAAGTTGTCTTGGATAGGCAGGACCAAGTAATTAAAAAAAAATTATTGTAATTTGTAAAATTTTATTATAAATTCAGGTTTTGCCAGCAGCAAATCAAATAATCAGTCGATCCTCAAGGCCAACACGCTCTGCTAGAGGACGTCGTCCATTGGTGTCTCACTCAAATGTAAATTTTTTTGAAATAGTGTCGTTTTTCATTTTGGCTCTCCCCAGAATACCCATAATTGTTAGACATTCTCCCTCAAATATTAAACAAAACGACATTATTACCTTTTATTCATAATCTGTGCGTAATTAAAGAGAGTCTATTCTCATCTGCAATATCTTCATGACGCAACTCGCCAAGTGCGACGAATGACAAATGGTATCTTATATTGTTCTCAAACATGTATATTAATTAATAAACAATTCCTAAAGAAAATTTATAAAATTTTTCGTAAATTGTTTTATATTGTTTGTTAATAAATATCATTCTGATCTTTTCCTAATTTAATTGTATTAGAATATGAGTCTATATCGCGTGCTGCAACTACTACTACTACTAGTTTAGAGGATGGGTTTTTTGTACCTACAACAGGATTATCAAACGAAGAAATACATATAGTTAGAAGATCAATAACGAAATTGCCGGTATCAATCACTGAAGCAAATGAGAGATGCACCTATTGTTTAAGCTTATACAAACCAAACAAATTTATCGTTTCGTTTACATGTGGCCATAATATGCATCTAAAATGTTTTTCAAAATATGCAGAAGGTTATAGAACATGTATGCAGTGCCGACGACATTTAATAACTGGGGAAGAGCAAACAGATTAGTGAGTGTTAACTATAGGAAGGGCATTGCTACGAGTACTAATTTTACATTGTCTACTCGTAGCATGTCTCTACAAGCAAGGATCCGAAAATTGTGAGGATTCTTGCTTGTAGACAGGTCTCCAAAGTTAAAGAAGCCATATAATTTCCGAATGGCTTCTTGAACTTTGGAGGCCTGATTCCTACGTGTTTTCCCCTCACTTCAAAAGAATCAAAGTTTTTTGAGTGTATTCTTTTGACGTGAGGGGAAAAAGTATTTAATTTGTTTTTGATAACATTTAACCACACCACTTTTATTTTTCAAAGTTTTTGGTAAAATTTGTAACCCAATTTTTATTTTTCAATATTATTTTAACCACATTGATTAACCACTTTTTTTTCAAATATTTTTTGGTAAAATTTGTAAACCAATTTTTATTTTTCAATATTATTTTAACCACTTAGAAAAAAATTTTATTGATATTATGTGTACATAAAATTAATGTATTTACATTGATAGCAAATATTTTTAAACCTTAATTATATATTCAATATTTATATTTGCTACCAATGTAAAAGCAATTTTAAATTATAATATTTATTATCTTTTCTGCCATTATTAAATTTTTGTTTTAAAAATATTTACAATTTTATTTTCTTGCCTTTTATATAATTTTGTTAATTGCCTTCTTTTTCAGCAATTTTTTTAGCATTTATATTAATAGCATTATTAATTTTAATCTCAACAATTCACTAATTATTTTTTTAAGGATTTTTTTTTAAATTAGAGAATTGTTGTACTAAATTCTTTCCATAATATGTAATTTTTTAACTTAAATAAATTTTAATTATTTTATTTTTTAAATTTTTTACTAGTCAGTTAAAAAAGTTTAGGTATCAGATTATGGGCTTAAAGATTTATTGTCACTCCTATATCTTTGTATAAATAAAAAAACAATTCTTCCTTAAACAAGCTTTTATATTGTCCTGGCATACATTTATTCGTTTCACTTATCTATAACTGCGCATGCTAAAAATTATATTTGAAAAAAAAGACTATTATTTTAAATTTAGATTGAAAACATGAGAAACTACTTTGTTATTGAAAGAATAGAGCCATTCGCATCCCAATCATGAAATACTCGTGGTGAGATCGCCCACATCAGATTTAATAATTTGGCCGATCACCCCCGACCTGACTTGGCTCTAACAACACTTATTGAACAACTTTTGGATCGGGTGCCCACCGGAAGACCAGCGCCTCTCCGCGTTGGTCTTCAGGTCCAACCACCAAATTTCCACCACCCATTTACCGTGCCCCTCCGGCCATTAGAACAAAATAATGCAGCAGCATTAGCCGCAGCTATAGAGAGATTGAACGAAATATCCCAGGCTGGGATAGACCTTCTCTCAGGGACAACAACAACAAAAGTTGTAGCTGTATGGCCTTTGACTGGGCAGCGCACTAATAATCCTGCAGCACAGTCTGGTAGGTTCATACTAGTCTTACATTTCTTAAATAAATGTAAGGCAGTCATGTTCCTACAGGTAGTTGCGATTCCGACCAAGAACATGCAGTGTCTTCTCGATGTCGTTCAATTGTGCGCGTCCACAATCCAAACGACCGCTACTGTCTTGCTCGAGCAGTAGTTATTGGACTTACAAAAATTCGGCTTGTTGATCAAGGTGATGCTAATAATGGAGCAGCTCATTTTAGAGCTTTTTGTCAACAACAAGGACAACATATGCTTTTTGTAAACTATTTAATGAATTCAGCCGGACTTCCATATGGATTACAGGTATTATTTAAGAACATTATTTTTTCAGATTTACATAATATAGGAATATTCGCTTGAACATGTAGCAATTCTCCAACGATGGTTAAATCAATATTATGGAGAAGGGCACACTCGTATTGTTGTTTTCCAAAAAGAGCAACAGTACCGGATTGTGTTTAAAGGAGAGGGAAGAGCAGCTCGTTACAATTTATGTATGCTCTTGGAGAATCGCCACTACAACTACATTGGTCGCCCTGAACAACTTTTGGGAGTCAAACGATATTGTATTGACTGTGAACGATCAGTGACACGTTGGAGTCATTGGGCTGGGTGCACTGTAGTTTGTAGATTTTGCATGCGGTCAGGTCCCGAATTTCCATGTCAAGTAATATCAAATTAAATTGTAAATTTTTTTATCGTTATTTATTAGGAAGAAGAAAGAATCCCTTGTCAAAACTGTGGATTCATTTTTCCACGCCGATCATGTTATGACTACCATCTAGTCAATTCTGCTCCTCTAGAAATGGTTCGACGCGATACACGTAATTTTGCATCCATTTGCCAAATGCGTCGTATTTGCTCGAATTGCCATCTCATAATTTATGCTCAACAAGCACACGAATGCCAACAACAACGGCAACAACAAAAATAAATTGTAAAATGTGTAATGGCCCTCACACAGAGGACCAGCCATGTTTTATTCAGCCATTAAAACCTGATGAGGATGAACAAGATAATAATGAAAATAATAATGAACAACAACAGCAACAAAGAACAAGAAATCATCGACAACCAATTCGTCTTTGTTTTTTTGATGCTGAAACAAATCAGGATGAACCTGTACAAATAAGCCAAAATATCAATGGCTACAGGCATGTACCTCTTCTGATTATTGCCGAGGTTACTTTTTTAAATTAAATTTAAATATATTTTTGTTTATAGGTTATTTGTGAAGCCTGTATACGGGCTAATATTCGTATTGAAGATGTTGGTCAACGTGCTCAGGGATGTTTTTGTGGGACTCCAAGAGGAGAACGATGGCGTAATTGGTGTTCCCCACCCTTCAGAAATGCTCCAGGCGACAACACCGCCTTTCCAGATAACATCACTTTCAATCATCGGCGTATGTTTTTCCATTCTTTTGACAACGCTGAAGATAATCCTGTGGACCAATTTTTAGACTACCTACTTAATCACGGTTCACAACATATGCTTACAATCTGCATAGCTCATAATGGAGGAAAATATGATTTTCATCTATTATTGGAAGCTCTACATAGGCGAAGCCACCCGCCAACAAGAATATGCACAACAGGACTCAAAATTTATTCAATGAGTCTTGGAGGGAACAACCAAAGAAAAGTGCTTTTCAAGGACTCGTTAAACTACTTTTTCTGTGAGCTTGACGCACTAACAAAGGTTTTTGCTTTGCCAGAGGATTTGGTTACTGCAAAGCCCTTCTTTCCCCATCTCTTTATTCAAAGACAACACCTTCATTATTGGTTAAGAGGGCTCCCTGCAATTCAATATTACCAACCTGAATATAAGAAGGCTGAAAAGAGAGAAAAGCTCATTGAATGGTATACACAACAAACATCCATCCAAACAACAACAACAAACTTCCAGCTTCGTGTACAACTAATTCATTATTGCGTAAATGATGTAGCGATTCTGCGTGAGAGCGTACTCCGATTTCGACAACTTATTGGAAAAACACGAAGAATCTAGACCCATTTTTGGCTGTATCAACGGCAGCAGGCCTCGCTTTAACAACAATGCGTCGCTGCTTTTTGCCTGAAAATTGGTTAGTTCACTCGCCTGAAGGAGGTTACTCGAGAGGACGTAGAGCTTCAGCCGAATCACAGCGATACATCCGCTTTTTTGAACTACAACATCCAGAGTCTGTAGGTCAAATTCAACATGCCCAATGGGCAATTGGAGAAGCTCATGTTGAAGACTGCGGTTATAGACTTGATGGATTATGGCAAAGATCGCCCCCGCTTCGCCCTTTGGCTATTGAATATATGGGGTGCTATTATCACGGTATAATGTTTTAATAAAGCTAATAAATTTTATTATAAAATTTAAGGCTGTCCAGAATGCTTCCCAGTACGTGACCAGCGCTTAGCAGCTGGACTACAGCAGAAGAACTTTTTGAGAGAACGCAACAACGTTTATGGGAATTAGAGCATCACCATGGATATCAACTTCACGTAGTCTGGGGACATGAAATCAAGGAAAAACTGAGAAACAACACTCAGTTAAGAAAAAAATGGCTCGAAATTGATTGTGTACGGCCAATGGATCCCAGAGAAGATTGCCTTAGAGGGGGAAGGACAGAACCCTTCAAACTTCACCACATGTGTGCTGAAGATGAAGAGATCCTCTACATCGATATTGTATACTTGAATCTAAACTTTAAAGAAAATATAAAAAATTTTTAAGGTAAGTCTCTACCCTTATGTTATGAAGGCAAGATCTTTTCCTATTGGGCATCCAAATGTTTTGACACGTGATACATTGCTTCTTCCTCCAAACAACCCTTTGCCATGGACATCTCCAGAGCATAACATCTATAAGGGTTTGCTTCTTGTTCGTGTTCAACCTCCGAACTTTATGAATGAAAATCTTCCACCAGTGCTACCATACAGAACTCATGATGGGCGACTCACGTTTCCCCTTTGTGCAAAATGTGCTGATAATAGGCAACAACGGCCTTGCACTCATGGAGAACGTGAACGTTCCTGGCTGACTGGTTATACCCATGTGGAGCTTAATTATGCTTTGGAACGTGGATATAAAGTCGTCGACATTTATGAGGTAATATACGAGTTTAATTTGAATTTAATTAATTTGAATTTAAATTTAACAAATTTAATTTGGTATTTAGGTCTGGAATTATGAAAAATGGGATCCGAATCTATTTCGATCCTATGTGAACACATTTATTGGATTGAAACAACAGGCTAGTGGATGGCCAGATGGTTGTGCCTCGGAGATGGACCGAGCTGACTACCTAGCTGAGTTTGAACGAGTTGAAGGAATCTTCCTCAACCCAGAGAAGATTGAAACAAATCCTGGTTTGCGAATGATTGCGGTGAGTTAACTTAGAAAAAAAAATATTCAAAATAAATTAAATTTTCAGAAATTATTAGCAAACTCGCTCTGGGGAAAACTGGCGCAACGAGTTTGTGGAACTGAAGTTCGATATGCCAAAACACCGGCAGAGTTTCACCAATTGTTAGAAGACCCAACAATTGATATGCTCGACTTTGATCATGTCAGCGAGCATTTGGACCGTTGTGTTGTGAGGAAGAAGCCGGAATTTGCCAAAGCACCAAATACCAACTGCCTTCCAGTAGCAGCGTACGTCACTTCATATGCTCGACTCCATCTATATGAGTATATTGAACAAGTACATCAAATTGGCGGCGTCCTCTTGTACTGCGATACTGACTCCATCATCTATGTCGGAAAGCGTAATGGCCAGCGTGTATCTGAAGGTGAATATCTTGGTCAGATGAAGCGTGAAGTTCCATCACGCCGAATATTGGAATTTATTGCTGGAGGGCCGAAAAATTATGGCTACCGACACGTCGACGCAAGTACAGGATTAGACGAGAGAGCTGAGCTTAAGATTCGGTCATTCCCGCTCTCTTATGCTACTCATCAGCTCCTAAACTTCAACACTATGAAACAACTTGTGTTGAACCAATTCAATGTTGATGGGGCAGTGTGAGTTTATCAACTAATTTAAAGAAAATACAAAATATATATTCAGTGATGACACGATTGCCGATGAAGTCTTTTTCGTTGGTAATTCAATTGGTGTGCAATTCCCTCAAATTGGAAGAACTCGTCGGTCTCAGCTTTACACCCATCTGGCTAGGAAGGAATACAGGCCATGTTATGAAAAGGGTAGAATTATGCCTGGAATGGAAACTCTTCCTTTTGGGCACAGGAGGAATAATATAGTTATTTAAATTTTCTTAGCTTTTTTTTAAATAACATATTATTTACAGGCATCAGTAGGACAAAGGCTTCAACAAAAACGACCAAATACAACGACAACACCACCACCACCAAACACAAGATCCCGTTTAGATACAAATGTTTTAAATTTGCAAGATTTGCCTGGGTCGTCCGGATGGACAGAAAATGATTATAGAAATAGATACCATTTTTGATTATATTTTTATTAATATTTATTCTGTATATATTTTGTTAAATAAAAAAATTATGTTCGTGGAAATTTTTTAATTTTTGGTAAAATATAATTGTTAAAAACATGCTTCATTTCATGAATAGATTTTATTCCCGTTAGTATCACACGTCCTGAGATGTAACATAGACATGATGCTTCTCCATCTCGTTCTTCCACATTTATTTTGAAACGGAGTGCAGGAAAAATTGTAGGGTCGTAATTGGCTTTAATATTTTGCTGTTGAAGTTGTTTAAATAATTTCTCAATTGCTATTTTTTTTCATGCCTGTAGGCTCCGACAATATTCGTAACCAAAAGATTATTAATTCCAATTTTCTGGAAATTCCCTGCCGCAGAATTTGAAGCTCTAATATTTTTCACAACTCTCCATGCTGTTTCATTTGCTAATTCGGGAGAAGGCACGCCTGTTAAAACGACTTTTCCCGATTGAAATATTAGTGCTGCCGTTGTTTTATTTCCTTTGTGTCGTAGTCGCATAATTATCGAATGGAATCTTTTAGGATTATATTCAGTATTAATTCCAAATCTTGCAAGCTTTAAATAATTTTCTTGAGAAAATTTAACGTTGTCTTTAAAGAGTTTAAATACAACTGTACAATTATAAATTTGCATAATATATATTTACTAAAAAATAAAGACAATTTAATTGTGAATTAAAAAATTTAAAAACAATTTATATGTGGTTTTCAACTTTAAAAAATTATTATTTATCTAATAACATCCTCCTTTCATTTTGTTTCGGATTACACAAAGGACTTCAAGAGGGTAAAATGATCGATGATGTCCTCCACCAAACTCAATAATACATGGTAGATATGGATGACAAAGTTTGAAATTATGCTTTACATAATAATATCCGCGGACCTAAAATAAAGAAATGCTATTAGTCTTTTGATTAAAAACTTACAGTTATGCCCAAATAACCACTCATTGCTGGAACAATACTTGCTGATTGAACTGTAAGGTCATGACAATGTACAATAAAGTTGCGACACGTTGGTTTTAGATGAGATGTCCGTAACTGCACATTTTGGCGTAAATGCTCAATAATTTCACGACGAGCATCAAGATTATGGAATAGTACATGTAGTTCCTTGAACGAACAATTTCGTAGTTGGCAAAGATACTCAATTAAAGGGATAGGTAAATGTGTCTTAGAACGTATTGATATAGATGTTGTTGGAATTTTAGATTTAATATCTTCATTTTGTTTTGCTGTCGGTGTAGGTTCACGAAAAGGATTTTCTGGTTCAACAGTCCAATCC